AAGTTGCTCCACCCACCTGTGGACGAGATAAGCCAGCGGTTCTACATTTATAAACACATCTGTGATCCCCTGCACACATTCTGCGCAGATCTTCCCTTGTGGTCTTGCTCGTCTTCCTACCCTCTCATCCTTTTTCTGCGGGCTACACAGCATTTTTTCAAATGTGAGGGTGGGCCTTCATCGAGGTGCTTTCAACGATTTTGCCACCTTGTTTTTCTCAACTTGTGTAGACATTTGAATTTCGAAATTCTCAGAACTGCGTATCTCTCAATCAATTCTCCTCACCTAGGATAGCCGGAGCGAATAACAGCCAGCCCCACGTATGTTCTCCTCCAAGAATAAAGCCGAGAGACAGCACAGCTGCAACCGCAGTACCGAAGCACACTGATATGTGCAGGAAGCAGCTCAGTGAACCCTGAAATTAAGAATTCTCTTTTGCTCAGTGAAGGAGAGCATTTGCACATGAGAGAGCAGAAGAAGACTTCGCGAGAACGCGCGTCGTCGCGCTACCGTAGGAACTCAGCCATGGACGGGTATCAAACGATGGCCAGCCGCCGTTCTGGGAGAGTATAGACGTAGAAGAGAGCACCAAACTGTTACTCTGTACACAGCATGTACCTCCCCTAATCTCCTATACTCTCCCAAAACACTATACTTTGGCACTCTCCTAGTCTCCTATATCCTTCCAAACACTAGCAGGCGGAGCCAGAAGATTAGTTACTGGGCAATTATGTATTGATACAAACTAACCATAAGAGAAAGGCTTACCTTTATTTGTTTTGGAGCAATCTGTTGAACATACAATGGAAGAAGAGCACAAGCGATCCCGGTGAACACTCCAATCAGAAGACGACCAAGGATAAGCAGCGGAGCGAAGTTAAGCAAGAACGCTGTCAACCAAAAAAATCACTGATCAGGGGAAGAAATGATGAAGTTGCTTGGAAGAGTTGTTCGTCTACTCAAAACAGGGCACATGTTGAATTGTGGAATTAACTCGTTGTGTATTTGGTTAGTCGGAGGGGGAGGAGTAGTAAAGGGCCCCTATTTTTGATTACCGAGTATTCTCGTCCCACACGTGCCCTAACTCAGAGAAAGGGATGGTAGTTTCGGAATGGCATGTACTTTATCCGATGTGTCCTTCCACAATGACTACGAATCGGTCATCTATATCAGTTGCGGAGCGGAGGGATTTCAAAGGGGGCGTGGTTACTTTGATTCACAGTACCGCTGAGCTACGCTACCACACTCGCAGCAGATGTAGTCCCATTGAATTTGTATATTATTTATTTATTCTGTAGATATGTCAAAAAACATGTGAGACGTCAGGCGACGGACCCTTTTATGAACCGGCGTGAGTAGAATATGGAGACGCAATTTTGATAAAGTATACACAAAAAAAAAATCTAAACACAAACACATCGAAACGTTTCTTACGTTATAGCGCGGGTGCTGTAGCGTATCAGCAGCAGGGCCTGGAATGTGAACGGTCTGAAGCGGTTGCAGTTCTTTCTCCACCAGTTGTGTCGTCAGCCAACTTCCGCAACTCAGTGAAGATCAGACTGGCGCCGCTCAGAACCCACCTCCCCTAATACGCCCCATCGTCCTCGGCGATTGACACTGAGACTGTGTGAGGTAACGAGAATGGTCGGAACACATCTCTTTTCGAAACGGACACTTCAATCGACCGTATTTTCCCTGTTGGTCGGGTGCGCAGCAGTTCCACTTTTCCTATCAGAAGTGGTGGCTACCCTGCTCCACCGGCTTCTAAGGAGTTTTGTGCTGAGAGGGAGCCGTTTCGAGGGAGGATCTTCACAACACGATGAGCTGCCCCACCATGAGGACCCAAATGCCGACGAAAGCGGCACAAACTGCAACCAGCTCAAAACGTGAAAACTCACATGGAGAATGATCCGAGCAATAGCAGGATGTTATTCACCAACATCAACGCGCTTTTTACGCCGTACGTATGTAACAAAGGAGTGACCATGAAGCATCCAATCAGTGCACCGAGGCTTTGACATGAGACAACTATTGCCCTGGAAAAAAAATCGTTCTCTGGGGTACATGGCAATCAGCTGATCAGGTCTCCGGGCCAGAGCGGGTGGTCGCTGCCCACCGCAATCAATAGTAGTAATCTCAACTCTTGTGAACAAATAACCCATGAGAAAATTTTTGTTCTACTATGGTGTGTTAGCTTATACGTTTTATTGGAGCATCTGTTCTAGAGCCTTCTGAAAGTCCTTCTTCGGAAAACTTCCAACACTTATGAACTGTGAAATCAGAATTTATTTGGCCCTTAGTACCCATTAAAATGCAGTGATTCAGTAAAGAAATGAAGTAAGACGCGACTGAAAAGGATTGGAAGAAATTTGATCAGATGCATCCTCTGCCCCGATGGCGGGATAGACAGCTTAGGCGGTTAGGATGACCTGACCTGAACGGGAAAGTTGCACGATTCCCTGTATCCCGTGCGAAATCCGTGCCTCTAAGTACATACATTTCAAGAACGTACCACAATACAGCTACGGCTCCTGGAGATAGCACTACGCCAAATGTTGTAAACATGCTTTCGTTCAGAGATCGTTGCAGTATCAGAGCTGGCACGTTTAACACCAGCATGTGATATCTTGAAATAGTCGTAGTTAGGTTGTACCTTACGGAGACATTGTAACTTGTTATACAACATTGTCGGAGACCATTAGATTACAATCCATAGTTGTGAGCCAACTTCGGCTCGGGGCTTCACAAGATTTCACAGAGCTCTACTTAATGGCTCGACAGTCAATAGGAAGTAGCAGAAGTGCAAATGCCCCACCCCTCCCTCCTTCCTGTCGCCGATCTGCTCCTTCTTTCTTGTCTAAGTGTCCCTAAAACCATCGCTGCTTAACGCCTCCTCCTATATTTCAAGCTCCTTCTGCCCCTTCTACATGATCTGCAGCGGAAACCGCAGAGAACAAATCTCAAGACTGCTGTAAGCGTTA